TTTATCCTCATTGGGCTGTCCCAGGTTGGCTAAGGAATACAATTTGGCCCCAAACAGAACTATTCTCATGCAGATGCCGGAAATTAGGGGCCACACAAAAGAATCCTCCTGAAAGGCTTTTTGATCCTGTTTGATGTGGCCTTTAGTGAAAGGTGTCAAGTGCATATCAAATGGCTTCAAGGAAGTGCCTCTGGACCTAACTACTGGGCCATCTTCAAAATCAGCTCATGACTAAGGAGAGCTGGGATTACCTGTAAATAAAGTAGTCCTAAGGTTGTAAGAAGTTCTGTATTTTCCGGTGAGAACCTGTAACACAGACCAGTGCGACTTGTAATATCAATTCTAATCAATTAGCCCCAAAGCGTTATGATCCATGCCCCCCCCCCCCAACCACAGGTAAACCAACCCCAGGATTCTGTCCTGGGCCCACTTTGCTTTCGCCACTCTAGCTCTGTGATCCTATCTATGCAGGTAATGCCCAGTCATCACCTCCCTCCTGAGCTCCAGGCCCACATCACCTGCTGACCACATCCACCTGACATCTCAAACTCAACAGGTCTTAACAGGCCTCATTCTCTCTCTTTCTTAAACTACTCTCCCCTATTTCTGTCTCCAAGCACCTGGCTCACAACCTTGCTTCAGCCCTCTTCCCTTTGCTTGCTCTCCCCCTCCCCACTCTGTCAGCAGCTGTCCTCTCCATCCTCCCTCTAGGTCTCTTGTGGGCACTCCCATCTCCATCGTCCCGGTGGAGGCTCTCATGGCCTCTTCCTCTCCTTCCCTCCAGTTCCTCCCCTCTCCAATCCACCCTCCACACAGCTGCCAAGGGCAGGCCTCACATGTCACCCCCCGTTGTGCCCCCCTTCTATGGCTCCCACCAATCTTTCTGAACTGATTTCACATGCTTCCCTTTGCACCTCAGCATGTTGGTCCTTGCACGTGACAGTCCACTCCAGGCCGAGGCTTGGTGGTGCTTCCTCCTCAAATGCCTGCACTGCTCTCCCTCCTCACCCCTGCCCTTAAGAACCCCTAATTCCCTGACTGATGCCCCCAGGGGTCAGGGCCCCAAAGGATGTCCTATTTACTTAACTGTGTACTCCTTCTACACACTCAGTAGAACAGAAGCTTTGAGGAAAAGGACTACCTTTTAATCCTCAGTGACTAACACAGATCCAGGAATATAGTAGGCTCTTAATAAATGCTGATGGAATTAAGTTGCTGAATTTCAGTGACTTAACGGGGCTGGTAATAATCCAGAAGGAACTATATTGTTCCGACCTACTTACCCACAAGAACTTCACCAAGATCATAGAAAAAAAACAAGCAAGTTGTTTGGCAAGTTCTTTTGGTGGCCATTCTGGATGTGCTGGGCATCGTTAAACATTATTATGCCTTTCTAATAAAGTGGCTGCCAATGGGCCAGAATTGTAAATAACAAAGTAACAAAACACTGCCTTGGTAAGAATGAATGTGAGCTAAGAGACGAGATAGCATAGGACAGAAAATACAGACCTCAGAATGATTGAGAAAATCACTCCTGCAAAAGGTAATGAAAGAGAAACATAAGAGCAGACATTCTGCCCTCTGATAAAACTCATAAAGCACTGAAATGTATTGGGATGGCAGACCCCTGGAAAAGAAATACCCCAAGAACTGACATGTGCAGAAACCCAGCAGAGGCTAATCCCCCACAAGGAGATCAAACAGCACCGGAGGGAAGCCAGTTTTGCCCACAATCGTCAGATGTCAAGGCTCTGTCATCTACTGGTAACACTTGGGTGTCATGTAAACAGGAGGCTTCTATCCCCACACAGAATTAGACTCTCTGTGGCTGATACAGGGTCCATTCTGTGTTAAGCCTGATGGAAGGGCTATTCCAGCAAGCACTAGACCCCATGTCTAAAGACTGCCAGTCAGGACCTCTGCATTCCCTCCTACGACTCTGGTCATCTAGAAAGGGCCAGTGTTCCCAGCTTTGTGTACGTGCACCTTACATTGACATGCTCATTTCAGACAAGGAAGACTCACACTGGTCCCTCAATCATAGAGATGCTTCACTGGCTGAACCACAAGCATTCCTCAGGCAGAGAAAGGGCTTTGAGCGTAACCCATTTTCTTAAGGAAGTGGTTTATGGATGCTCTTTCCCCATCCCCCCGTTAGACCTGAAAGCCTAAATATCTCCTTTTTTCAATGTAAGCAATAAAGCAGGCTTGAAGAAATTCAGCGGCTTAATGGAACTAGCTATTAAACAATTAATACAGGAACTGTCCCAGTAATCAGGACATCTTAACAACCAAACCAACCTGAGCAACAAACATAAAAGTCACTGTGCTTTCATTCAGATCTGCATCAGTCCAATTGTGTTTCCTTCCACTGGTAGAGAGAAAATGATCTACTTACTCCACTGCCTTCTTATAGATGTCAATGGCCTTCTCCAGCTCCCCCTCCAGCAGATGGATTTTTCCCAACATTATGTAAGTCAGGTCATGTCTGTTGAGCTGCAGAGCACTGTGCAACTGGTCTTTTGCCTATGTCGTAAAAAAAACAACCCAAAACACCAAGTCAGAGCCGCACAAAGAAAAGGCAAATAGACAACTCGGTGCCACTTAGTTGAGGGCTATACTTCTACTATTATTAATAATATTGATGCAATAGTAGCCCGAGTCAGCATTTACCCAGTATCACATCTGGGGAACCACAAGGTACTCCCCTGTATGCCTTTGCTGGCAGTTCAGAGAACGTCCACCTCGTACCGCGTCACCAGCCACCTGGGAGAGGTGCTCTAAGATGCCCAATGTGGCATGAAGGCTGGTCAGTCAAATGCATCATCACCTGAGTCATCACCTGGGTCTGTGTGGTGCTCAAAGGGACTTCCTTAGTCTATGCCCTGCCTTGAGGCACCAGAGTTCAACCTCACTCTCCTTACGCTTGTAACAAATCTGCTTCTCTGGGCGAGGATGTTTCAGAAAGAGGCTGCTCAACTGAACAAGTGCCCCCTGAGATCCAGCATATATCAATTAACATACAAAACATAAGGGAAGTATTGGTGTTAGACCTCCCCATATAAAGCCAAGTTTTGCACGTTTTCCTTGGACTAGCTACACCTTGCTCGATTTGGCTTCCTATTCGAAACTGAGTAATGAAGGTTCTCATGATGACTCTCGGTCCTACCATGATTTCTTCACCAAAAGGATCCAGTGGGAAAGGAATGCGAGTTTACAGTTCTTTCAATACTAGTCCTTTAAAGAGAGAACCGTATTAAACAAGGAGACGACAGAAAGGAATTGTTCATCCCTTGCCATTTTCTAGGAGGATACCCACACTGCCCCAAGTCATCCAAGTTTTCATTATTCATTTTATGTCCTTGTGCTGCTCTACAGAAGGTACTACATGTCCCTCAACCCTCCTTCCAGTGGCTACTTATCACTCTGCACTTTTCATTCCCCTGAGTTGGTCACCCCACTCCTTACATCAGGGCAACTTTGTTCTCTTGGATTGAGTTATCGAGAATGTCTAATAGTTGTTGTTTTAAACTGATTTTTAGTGACTGAATATACATTGAAATACAAATTCTTCTCTTGGAAATTAAATCTGAACACCAAAAAGCCTATACAAGCTCTCAGACATCAGATCTACTTAAAGCTGACAATCAATCTCTACCACATAATGGTTAAATCAAATGATGTCAGAACCCATGGTGAGCAGTGAAATGATTATAGCTCTTGTAGATATTCACTGGAAAGGTCTACTTTCAACATAAGGGTTTTACTAGAATGTTGCAAACCTCACAATTTAAGTAGTAGGGAAGGGAGAGCAGAATGGGGAAAGCCACATTTCAGGTTACTACTGCCTCCCAGGAGCCCCCAAATCTGCCTTTTCTTTTAAAAAATACCTAAAACCACAGGGTAATTACAAAAGCAAAAGGCAGAAATGTGGGAGAAACTTATAAAACTAATATTCACTATGCTATTTCTAAGCAATAAGACCTAAACATTTTAAGTCCTAGGAATTGGATGGCCTATTTCTCCAAGTCACATGAACCAAAACAACAATGCAATAAGACTAAAGCATGGTGAATCATCCTCAGTGAAATCCCCTGCCCGGAGAAAAACCTGTTTGTGCAAATTACCTTGTTGAAATGCTTCAGGTACATGTAGCAAACTCCTAAGTTATGGCAGATCTCCTGTGCATAAGAGAACAACAGCATCAGCTAGAACATCACAGCTGGCAAACAGGCAGAAGAAAACAGTAGCTTGTGCAGAATCTTTGCTCAGTCAAGTCTCAGTCTGAAAACACAAACTGTGGCTGCTTTTCAGTCAAGGATTTTAAACGTGTTCAGTGATATTTAACAGACAGATTAAATGTTGTAAATTGGGGTCCCTGGTGAGAAACAAACAGTACAGATTCTCTAAGTGACAAAAGCAAAGTGAACGGGTGATTTTCTCCCTAAGAAAGCAGAGGCTGAGAGAGCTCCTAGCGAGAACTGAACTAAAAGGTGGCCTTTAAATGAGAACCGGCAGAATCGAAGAAGAGCACGACCCCAATAGGAATCTGAGTAAAACCAGCCCTCTGGCTTGGAGAAGAGGCTGACATCACCGAAGGGAAGAAATACACCTGATCTTCAGCTGTAAAACGTCCTTAACATCATAAATAGCATCTATCTAAAACCTTCAGCCAGCATAGTATGTAATGGGGACAAGCTAGAAGCATTTCCAATAAGATCGGGGGTGCAACAAGGATGTCCATTGTCACCACTGTTATTCAACATCGTACTGGAAACGTTAGCTTTAGCAATAAGAGAAGAAAAAGACATTGAAGGCATTAGAATAGGCAAAGAAGAAACAAAGCTATCACTCTTTGCAGATGACATGATGTTATACTTAGAGAATCCCAGAGAATCAAGTAAAAAACTACTTGAAATAATAAACAACTTTAGCAAAGTTGCAGGCTATAAAATAAACCCACATAAATCATTGGCATTTCTATATATTACCAACAAAGCCCAACAGCAAGAGATAGAAAGAGAAATTCCATTTAAACTTACTGTAGACATTATAAAATATTTAGGAGTCTACTACCCGAAACAAACCCAGGAACTCTATGAACACAATTACAAAACACTTTTCACGCAAATAAAGTCAGATCTAAATAATTGGAAAAACGTCAGTTGCTCATGGGTAGGCCGAGTTAATATAATAAAAATGACAATTCTACCTAAGCTAATTTACTTATTCAGTGCCATACCAATCAAACTACCAAAAAATTATTTTATAGAGTTAGAAAAAATAATAACAAGATTCATTTGGAAGAACAGAATAGGTTCAGAATAGCAAGAGAACTAATGAAAAGAAATGCAGGGGCAGGTGGCCTAGCCATTCCAGATCTTAAATTGTATTATAAAAAAGCAATCATCAAAACTGCTTGGTACTGGCTAAGAAATAGAGTGGTGGATCAGTGGAATAGGTTAAGTATGCAAGACACAGTAGTCAATGACTATAGTAATATATTATTTGATAAACCCAAAGACCCCAGCTTCTGGGATAAGAACCTACTCTTTGAAAAAAACTGCTGGGAAAATTGGGAAAGAGTATGGCAGAAACTAGGCACAGACCAAAATCTTACACCATATACCAAAATAAAGTCAAAATGGGTACATGATTTAGATATAAAGGCTGATACTATAAGCAAACTGGGATAGCAAGGAATAGTTTACCTGTCAGATCTATGGAGAACAGAAGAATTCATGACCAAACAGGAGATACAGAACATTACGAAAAGCAAAATAGATAATTTTGATTACATTAAATTGAAGTTTTTGCACAAACAAAGCCAGTGCAACTAAGATTAGAAGGAAGGTAGAAAAAAGAATTTTTACAACCAGTCTCTCTGATAAGGGCCTCATTTCTAAAATATATAGAGAATTAAGTCAAATTTGTAAGAATACAAGCCATTCCCCAATTGATAAGTGGTCAAAGGATATGAACAGACAGTTCTCAGATGAAGAAATTAAAGCCATCTATAATCATATGAAAAAAATGCTCTATATCACTATTGATTAGAGAAATGCAAATCAAAACAACTCTGAGGTACCACATCACACCTATCAGAATGGCCAACATGACAAAAGAGGAAAATGATAAATGTTGGAGAAGATGTGGTAAAATTAGAACATTAATGCATTGTTTGTGGAGTTGTGAAATGATCCAACCATTTTGGAGAGCAATTTGGAACGATGCCCAAAGGGCTATAAAAATGTGCATACCCTTTGACCCAGCAATAGCACTTCTAGGGCTACATCCCAAAGAGATCACACAAATGGGAAAAGGACCCACATGTACAAAAATATTAATAGCAGCTCTTTTTGTGGTGGGAAAGAATTGGAAATTGAGAGGATGCCCATCGACTGGGGAATGGCTGAGCAAGTTGTGGTATAAGAATGTGATGGAATGCTATTGTGCTATAAGAAATGATGAACAGGCTGACTTTAGAAAAACCTGGAAAAACTTGTGTGGTCTGATGCTGAGTGAAGTGAGCAGAACCAAGAGAACATTGTACACAGTAACAGCCACGTTGTTTGGTGACTAATATTGATAAAGTTAACCCTTCCTGGCAATACAAGGATCTAAGATATCTCCAGAGGCCCTGTGATGGAAAATGCTATCTATACCCAAAGAAAGAACTATGGAAGCCGAATTGTTATCTTTTTTTCTCTTCTGTTGAGTTTTGTTTCTTCTTTCTGATGGGTCCTCCTATTGGTTTTAATTTCTACTTACAACATCACTAATGTGAAAATATGTTTAATATGAATGTAAATGTATAGCCTATATCAGATTGTGTGCCGTCTTGGGGAGGGTGGTGGGGAGGAAGGGGGAGAAAAATTTTAAACTCAAAAGCATATGGAAGTGATTATTGATAAATCAAAATAAATTAATAAAAAATTGTAAAAAAACCAAACAACTTTGAGTGAATAAGTCATTTTGACTATTATAAATACACAAATTAACTACAAAGGACCTATGAAGGAAGACGCTGTCTGCTTCCAGAGAAAGAACTGATAAATAGAAATATGTATAGAATGTCTACACACACACACACACACACACACACACACACACTCACACGTGTAATGGTAGCCATTCCTGGGGGAGGGGAGGAAAAAAGGGGGAAAAAGTTACTTTATTATATATTTAAAAGGAATAGCAAATGGTACATAATAGATTTGCATTTCATGTGCAATCATCTTTTTTTTCTATTCTGTGTTATGGAAATGCTTGCTTTATTTTTTAAGTTCAGAATAAAATAAATGAAATTTTAAAAATAGAGGTATGGGAGTAGGTAATTTATGAGTTTAGCCCTACTCATATGGAACCTGTGAGCCTTTTCCCTTTTGAGAATTGTTATAATCCCACTTCTGACACATCTAATTTGGGGCAGCTAGGTGGCGCAGTGAATAGAGCACTGGCCCTGAAGTCAGGAGGACCTGAGTTCAAATCGGGCCTCAGACCAAACACTTGACACGTACTAGCTGTGCCATCTTGGGCAAGTCACTTAACCCCAACTGCTTGACCAAAAAAAAAAAAAGAAAGAAAAAAGAATTGTTATAGGGCTAAGGTAAGAAGGAATAACTTTTCCATTTCCCGGATATGTCCATTGCCATGTCCAAGAACTTACAAATATATCTAATTCATTTGCTCAGTAGACATAAATTGGATAGGTAGTAGTTTCCCTCTTGGAGCTCATAAAGCCTTCCCTCCCGGCAGTACCTGGTTACTTAGAATTCCTTCTGTCTCCTTGGGCAGCTCTCTCTCACAGCTGTGGGCAGCCTCTAGAACATGGTGTTCCTACTCCCTCTGAAGCTGTCTCCCATAGCCTCACGGTGACTGAAAATGCCCAGTTATTTAGCAATAATAGCTAATACTTGCAGAAAGCACTAAATGGGTACATATTTTATATTTTATATTTATAAAAAATCTTGTGCAAATGGTATTAATGTCTTTTTACAGAAAATGAACATGAAGGTCTGCAAGTAAAGTTACTAACCCAGGGTCACATAGCTAGTAAGTTTCTGATTTAAAATATGAACCCAGGTCTTATAACTCTGGGGCCAACTCTTTCCATTATGCCACTATAGTCCAGTATAAATAATTTAAAATCATGTCGTGTTAGTCTGTGTCAAAGCATACTAAATTTTTCTTCTTTCCTCTTTGGGCTACATATAGTACTTTATTCAGATATAAATGAGAAGCATTATCAGTCTTTCTTTAACTATTAATTCTAAAATAATGTCTTTTATTTTAGGTAACTAAAATCTTTTTACATAGTAATTATCAATGCTCTCTCTAAAACAGTGGTTCTTTACCTTTTTTGTGTCCTAGACCTCTTTGGCAGTAAAACTGTCTATCCTTTCTCAGAATAATGCATTAAAATGCATAAAAGAAAAAATATATATATATATACACACATATATATTATATATATACCTATAGGATTGCAAAGGAAATCAGTTTTATTAAATTCAGTTAACGCCATATTAACAAAACAAGTTCAGGGACCCCTGGTGAAGAACTCCTGCCCTAACAGGAGAAGCTGGACCATCCCAGGAATAGTTACTCCCTGACAGTGGTTAGGGTAATGATCGGATTAAGAGCAGGAACAGCCTTTGATTAGTCTAGTTAATAGAGGTGTCTCTTGAGTTCACCTTTGACCAGATGGAGAGGAGAGTGTCTGGAAGAAATTGTTCAAAAGGAAGGATTGATTTTAGGGAAATGATGCTCCCAGGTGTGCTGGAAGTTGTTACTCTCATTCTGTTTCAGGAATCTAAAGCTGTTACCTAAACTTTGTACTTTTGTTCACTCTTAGTTATGGATAATTTTTCTTTGTTCTTGAACCCTACAAACTGCATGTGTTCAGTTGGCTTGGGCAGAAAGATTTTCAAAAGCCAGATGGATCTCTTTGTCTTTAGAACTTTCTCTAAGCAGAGATGCTTAGAATAATAAATTTGTCTGACAAGTTTGTGTCTAAGACGCCAGAGTCCTGAGTATTCCTTCCAAATGCTGGGTGCAGTTTTAAAGCTGAAAATCAGGTGCATTTCTTTTTTTTTTTGTTACTTTTTTATTAATCTATTTTGATTTATCAATAATCACTTCCATATGCTTTTGAGTTTAAAATTTTTCTCCCCCTTCT